AGTCCCAAGAACAAGTGTTTTCTTTTTTTTTTTTTTGAGAGTTTTTTTCGCTATAGGGCGCGTGCGCTCGCCAGACAGACAGAGAGAGACAGAGAGACAGAAAGCGAGAAATCACCCCCCAGGGGGGATGGCCACGCCGCAATCCCTTCTCCTCCATTCTCCTCTCGGATCTTGGGCACGCACACACACGCGCCCGGCGTGAGTTTTAAGCCACCGGGTCCAGGATGCGAACCACGGTTGACTATGTGGCAGTCCAGCGACATAGCCATTACGCCAACTGCTGGTTCCCAGTGTTTTCTAATCATGGCTTTTCTCAGCTGCATAGAAAAGGGAGAACTTTGATGACTCAGTCAGGCATGATCACACTGCCTTCATTGGGGAATTAATCATCTTTCATATGTTTGTAATAATTCATAGAGTTTTCTGGGTCTACATTTTAGGGAGAAACTGGGAAGACCATAATATCGAAGATCAGCATCAAGATGACAAGAAAAATGTAAGGTAATTTTCCCTCACTAAAGAAACTAATATCCCTTGGAAAAGGTGTCATGAAATTGTAAACCAGGGTTTTTTGTGGGGAGGAGGAAAGATTTTTGCTATAAGGTACATGTGTTCGCTGGAGAGACAGAAATCACCTACCAGGGGGATGGCCATGTCATAGTCCCTTCTCCATTTTCCTCTTGGGGATTTTGGGCACGTATGCACACATACAAACTTGACGTGAGTTTTAAGCAGCAGCAGGGTTTGGGACTTGGGCTGTAATTGATTCCGTAGGAATCCAGCGACTTAACTATTATGCCATCTGCTGGTCCCGGAAATAGTATTAAGAAACCACATACGGGTGATGGGAGATGGTGTGGTTGCTTAAGATACTGGGCTCCAACATGACCATCTGTAAAGTCCTGGACCTGGGGGTTTGTTTTCTCACTTTTCTCTCTTTCTCTCTCTCTCTCTTACTCTCACTTTCACTCTCTCTCACTTTCTCTCTGGTCAAATGAAGATTTACTAGTAATAGAGACCAGCAAATGTTGTAATAGTTACGTCGCCTGACACGCAGGTAGTCGACTGCAGTTCAAGTCCCAGATCTGGTGGCTTAAAACTCAAGGTGGACGTGTGTGTGTGCGCATGTGCCTGAAATCCGGAGAGGAGAGTGAAGGTGGGGGTATTGTGATGTGGCCATCCCCTCTGGGGTGCAATTTCTTGCTTGATGTCTCTGTCAGGAAAGATAAAGAATAATAGTAGAGTTAAATAAATAATTCTTTAAAAAAGAAAAAGAGAAATTGATGGTACCTGTAGTAGAGCCCCCTACAGAACAGTTACAAAATCACAGTTTTAAGAATTGTTTAATTTCAGCAGTTGGCATGGTGGCTAAGAGCGCTGATCTCCCACGTGGCTGACTGTGGTTCGAGTCCTGGACCTGGCAGCTTACTTTCTCACTACCCCTCCTTCTCTCTCTCTCCGTGGTCAAATTAAAATAAGTAAATAATAAATAAATAAAGTTCAATAAAATATTAATAAAATAATTCTTTAGAAAAAAGAGTTGTTTGGGACCAATAGGTGACGTAGTGGCTGTGTCACTGGATTCCCATGTAGTCAAATGGGGTTCAAGTTCCGGACCCAGTGGCTTAATCTCATACCAGGCACGTGTATGTACGTTCACAAGATCCCTTGAGGAGAAGGGATTATGGCATGGCCATCCCCCCGGGGGGTGATTTCTAGCTGTCTGCCTCTGTCTTTCTGGTGAGCACACGTGCCCTATTACAAGAACCTCTCAAAAACAAACAAACAAAAAACAAAACAAAACAAAACAAAAAAGAGTTGTTTAACTTGACTGATTGGTTTTAATTCTCTCTAGGTCACGTGTGCTCACCAGAGAGAGAAGGAGAGAGAGAGAAAGTAAGAAACAAGCCACTAGGTCTGAGACTCAAACTGTCATCAGCCATGTGAGAATCCAGCGCTCCATCACCACGCTCACTGCTGACCCCAAATCCATGCTTTTCAACTTGTGGGACCAGCAGTTGGCATAATGGCTATGTCACTGGACTCCAGTATGGTTGACTGCAGTTCAAGTCCCAGACCCAGTGGCGTAAACCCATGCCAGACAAGTGTGCGTGCATGCCCAAGATCCCGAGAAGAGAATGGAGGAAAAGGGATTGTGGCATGACCATCCCCCCTGGGGGGTGATTTCTCGCTTTCTCTCTGTCTCTGTCTTTCTGGCGAGCTCATGCGCCCTATAGCAAAAATCTCTCAAAATAAATAAATAAACCCTACTTGTTACCTGATAAAAGTAGAAAGAAATGTGGACCCACAGGTAGTGTGGTAGTTGAGGCTCTGGATTCTCACATTGGTTTGAGACCTACTAGCTTGCTTTCTCACATTCTTTCTCTCTCTCTTTCTCTCTGTGAGTGCACATGGTCTGCATTAATTTTTTTCAATAATAATTAATATAATTAAAAGTTCTTTTTAAAAAAAGTATTATACATTGGGACCTGCAGATGGCATAATGCTTATGTTGCTGGACTCCCATGAGTCAACAATGGTTCGAGTCCCGGACCCAGTGGCTTAAAACATGTGCTTGGTGTGTGTGCCTACATGCCTAAAATCCCTAGAGGAGAATGAAGAAACAATTGCAGCATGGCCATCCCCTTTGGGGAGTGATTCTGTCTGGCAATCACGTGCACCCTATGGCAAAAATCTCTCTTAACAAAAAAGAAAATGTATTATTTACTGAACTTTACTAGTTTGTTATTTCATTATTGTTATCATATCTTAATTTGCTTTAGGACACTTGTGAGAGAGAGAGAAAACCTCCAAGTCTGGGACTCAGGTATCACTCCGCCATATAAAAGTCCAGTGCATTTTTTTTTTTTTTCCCTTAGAGAGATTTTTACTATAGGGTGCAAGTTCACTGGAAAGATAGAAAGGCAGAAAGCAAGACAACACACAACACTTCCCACCTTGGGGGTGATTGTTACACCACAATCTCTTCACTTTCATTTTCCTCCCAGGATTTTGAGCACACAAGCACACATATATGCCTGGCATGAGGTTTATGCTGCTGTGTCCAGGACTTGAAGCCTAGTCAAAGGTTTGGGAGTCCAGCATCATAACCATTAATGCCATCTACTGGTCTCCTGAGTCCAGTGCCTTTAACTACCATGCCATTGCTGGCCCCATAAATAAATGATTCTTGGGCCAGCAGTTGGTGTGGTGGATAAGGGTGCTGGACTCCCACATGGCCGACCATGGTTGGAGTCCAGGACCTGGCGGCTTAAGTGGGGGCTGGCACATGACATAGTGATCAAGGTGTTGGACTCCCACATAGCTAACTACTGTTTGAGTCCTGGACCTTGCAGCTTGCTTTCCCTCCTTCCCTGTCTCTCTGGTCAAATTTTAAAATAAATAAATAAATAAATAAATAAATAAATAAATAACTTAAATGGTTAAAAAGTAACAAGAAATGTTCAGTACTAGGGCTAGTGTTATGGTAAATTAGCTGCTGGACTGCCACATGGCTGACCATGGTTCAAGTCCTGGATCTGGAGACTTACTTTCTCTCTCATCCCTTCTCTCCCTCCTTCTCTCTTTCTCTCTCTCTCTCTGGTCAAATTGAAGAATAATAATAAATAAAATTATTTTTTAAAGAAAGAAAGGTTTAGTACTTATTTCTTAACAAAGTCCTAATCCTGTGATCCACAGTAACATGCTTCTTGATCTTTACAGAATTCATGTTACACAGAGCCTATATGAAAGAAAAGAAGATAGTCCCTGTGGAGAAACTCTTAGTCATGTTACAGACAACGTGAATGAGCAGGCACTTGTTGGAGTGCAACCATGTGAAAGCCCTGCCTGTGCAGAAGGCCGCATTCATTCATCTGTCAGTAGGTGCAACAGAGCTCATGGAGAGGAGAAAGTATATGAGTGTCAGAAGTATGCAGAGGAGCTATGTAAACATAAGCCGCCTGGAAAACCTTTCACTTCTCTTGCAAGTGTGGGAAGACACATGGAAACACAAAGTGGAGGTGGACCTTACACATGTAAGGTATGTGGGAAAACCTTTGGTAATCTTAGCTTATTAAAATTACATGGGAAAATTCACACAGTAGGGAAGCGCTATGAATGTAAGCTATGCGGTAAGGACTTTTATTGTTTTATTTCCATTAAAAAGCATGAAAAAACTCATAATGGACTTAAACTTTATGGGTGTAAGGCATGTGGAAAAGTGTTCACATGTCTCACAAGTATTCAAACACACATATTGCAACATGGGTATGAACGTTATAAATGTAAGTTGTGTGGAAAGGACTTTGAGTTTCGCTATTGCTTGCGTATACATGAAAGAACTCACAGCAGAGAGAAACTTCATTGTAAACAATGTGGAAAAGCCTTTAGTTGTTCCAATTATCTTCAAAGACATGAAAAAACTCACAATAGAGAAAAACTTCATCATTGTAAACTATGTGGGAAAACCTTCAATTGTTCCAGTTATCTTCGAAAACATGAGAGAACTCATAATGGAGAGAAACCCTATGAGTGTAATAAATGTGGGAAAGCCTTCAAACAGTTATATTCTTTTCGAATACATGAAAAGACCCACAGTGGAGAGAAGCCCTATGAATGTAAAGAATGTGGGAAAGCCTTCAGTCACCCATCTTCCGTTCGAATGCATGAGAAAACTCACAATGGGGATGGACACTATGAATGTAAACAGTGTAGGAAAGCCTTCAGTTGCTTGTCTTACCTTCAAAAACATGAAAAGATTCATGGTGGGAACAAACCCTATGAATGTAAGGAATGTGGGAAAGCCTTTATAAATTCCACTTGCCTTCGAATCCATGAAATGATTCACACTAGACAAAAACGCTATGAATGTAAACAGTGTGGGAAAGCCTTCAGACACTTGCAATCCTTACAGATACATGAAAAGACCCACAATGGAATGAAACCCTATGAATGTAAGCACTGTGGGAAAGCCTACACTCGTTCCAGTCTTTTGAAGGTCCATGAAAGAACTCACACTGGAGAGAAACCCTATCAATGTAAGCAGTGTCATGAAGCCTTCAGTTGTCCCAGTGCCTTTCGCAAACACGTAAGAGCCCACACTGGAGAAAAACCCTATCAATGTAAGATATGCGGAAAGACTTTCAGTAGTGCTGCTCACTCTCAAATCCATCGAAGAACTCACACTGGAGAGAAACCTTACGAATGTAAGCAGTGCGGTAAAACTTTCTCTCGTTCCGGTTACTTTCATGCCCATGAGAAGATTCACAGTGGAGAGACACCCTATCGATGTCAGCCATGTGGCAAAGCATTTTTGCGACTCGTAAATTTTCAAAGACACATGATTGCACACACCGGAGATGGACCTTATAAGTGTAAGGTATGTGGGAAAGCATTTAGTCACCCCAATTACTTTCGTCAGCATGAAAGAACTCACACTGGAGAGAGACCCTATGAATGTAAACAATGTGGGAAAGCCTTTATCTCTCGGGGTTCCCTTCGAAGACATGAAAATATTCACACCGCAGCCAAATCCTATGAATGTAAGCAGTGCGGAAAAACCTTTCGTTATTCCTATCGGGTCCTAATACATGAGAGAATTCACACTACGGAAAAATCATATGTATGTAAGCAATGTGGGAAAGCCTTTTGTTATTTTCGACGATTACAAGTACATGAAAGAAATCACACTCTGGAGAAACCTTATCAATGTAAAGAATGTGGGAAAGCCTTCAAAAACTTGTGTTTCTTACAAATACATAAAAAGGCCCACAGTAGAGAAAGACCCTATGAATGTGACAAATGTGGGAAAACCTTCAAACATTTCTATTCCATTCAAATACATGAAAGGATTCACACCGGAGAGAAGCTTCTTCAGTGTAAACAATGTGGGAAGGCCTTCGTTTGTTCCAGTTACCTTCAAAGACATGAAAAGACCCACAATGCAGAGAAACCTTATGAATGCAAGGAATGTGGGAAGGCCTTCAAATATTTATATTCCTTTCAGTTACATGAAAGAACTCACACGGGAAAAAATCTCCATCAGTGTAAACAATGTGGGAAAGTCTTTGTTTGTTCCAGTTACCTTCAAAGACATCTAAAGACCCACAGTGAAGAGAAACCCTATGAATGTAAGAAATGTGGGAAAGCCTTTAAACACTTGCTTTCATTTCAACTACATCAAAAGACCCAGAGACATGAAATGTCCCATGGTGGAGAGAAACCCTATAAATGTAAGGAATGTGGGAAAGCCTTCCGTTGCCTGTCTTACCTTCGAAAACATGCAAGGACTCACACTGGGGAAAAACCATATAAATGTCAGGACTGTGGGAAAGCCTTCTATTACTCCAGTTCCCTTCGAAAGCATGAAAAGATTCATACTACAGAGAAACGCTAAAGGAAGAACATGGGTGGGAAGGATTTCATTATCATACATTTACCACACGGGATAACACATATGAAGAAAACTTACATTGTTATGATACATGTGGAAAAGTGTTTGGTCTTTTTGTTTCAATTCAAAACCATGACATAAAACATACAGAAAAACTTCAATATGAGCAATCTACTCTTGGTCCACAAGTAAGAATGTACACAGGATCATAACTTTGTAAATATGAAAAATGGGTAAAAGTTTATATTGATAATTGTAAAATATTTTATTAAAAATCATGTGAAACCTTATATAGGGGTCCCACAAATGAAAGTAATGTGAACATGGCAATGCTAAGTGATCCAGAAAATACATAATGTAAAACACCGTAAAAGTTACAAGCTAGGGACCAGCAGATGGTGTAATGGCTACATCGCTGGATTCCCATGTAGTCTACCATGGTTTGAGTCCTGGACCTGGTGGTTTAAACTCACACCAGGTCCATGTGTGTACATGCCCAAGATCCAAGAGGAGAATGGAGGAGAAGGGATTGTGGTGTGTCCATTTTCCCTGGGGGGTGAGTTCTTATTTTCTGTCTCTCTGTCTTTCTTGTGAGCGCACACACCCTATAACAAACAAAAAAAACTCTCAAAAAAAAGTCTTAAAAAAGTTATAAGCTTATAAGGGCCAGCAGATGATGTGGCTAAGGCGCTGGAATCCCACCTCACTTATTGCAGTTTTAGACCTGGATCACAACTTTCTTTTTCTCTCTCTGGTGAGCATGTTTACCCTACAGCAGAAATTCAAAATAAAATTAAATGAATAATTTTTTTAAAGAGATTTTTGTTACAGAGCATGTGCATTTGCTAGAGAGACAGAAAGAGCAAGAGATCCCCTCCTGGGGGGGATGGCCATACTGCAGTCCCTTCTCCATTTTCCTCCTGGAATCTTGTGCACACAAAAACATGTACTCAGTGTGAGTTTCATGCCACTGGGTCTGGGACTTGAACCATGGTCGGCCATGTGGGAATCCAGGGATGTAATTGCTAGGCCATCAGCTGGTGCCACTTTGTCTGTTTTTTTCTTTTTAAGAATTATTTATTTAACTGTATTCATTTATTTTTAATTTGACCAGAGAGAGACAGAGAAAGAGAGAGAGAAAGTGAGAAAACAAGCCACCAGGTCCAGTACTTAAATCATGGTTAGCCATTTGGGAGTATCCTGCTCCTTAACCGCCATGCCACCTGCTGGTCCCCAACCACTTTGTGTCATTTTTGCAAAAAGATTTCTGCCTTTATTCATATAGAAGGTGTTCACATGTGAGTTAAAGGGAATAATGTGAGCAGTGTCCATATGATCTGGTGATGCTATGATTCCCCATACTCCAGCCCTCTAGATGGTCAGATCCTGACCACATGTACATGAAAAGAGAAAAAAAAACCCACAAGTCCCAGTACTTAAATCATGGTTAGCCATTTGGGAGTATCCTGCTCCTTAACCGCCATGCCACCTGCTGGTCCCCAACCACTTTGTGTCATTTTTGCAAAAAGATTTCTGCCTTTATTCATATAGAAGGTGTTCACATGTGAGTTAAAGGGAATAATGTGAGCAGTGTCCATATGATCTGGTGATGCTATGATTCCCCATACTCCAGCCCTCTAGATGGTCAGATCCTGACCACATGTACATGCTAACTATCTTCCAGGCTGACCCTGCCATAATTTTTTAAGTTTCTTGCCATAGGGCACATGTGCTCACTAGAGAGACAGTAAGAGGTAAAAATGAGATTGCCATATTGCTGTTCCTTTTCCTCTATTCTGGGATTTGGGGCATGCTCACAAACACATCTGGCATGATTTTCAAGCTGCCAGGTCCAGGACTGAATTGCAGTCACCTATGTGGGAGTGCAGCAGTTCTACCACCGCCTGCTGGCCCCAACCCTGTCATCAATTCTGATCGAGATTGGTACATGGGATCTTGCTTGTCTTGAGTACCACAGTGTTAGCACTGTGCCATGAAGCTAGCCCATTAAGTGGCAGTTTTCACTTTTTGTTACTTGTTACTTGGGATAATTAGGTTTTAGTTAAGAGAGACCTGGGGACCAGCATTTGGTGTAATGGCTATGTTGCTGGATTCCCTTGTAGCCAACCGCAGTTCGATCCCGGGCCCAGTGACTTAAACTCACACTGGGCACATGTGTGTGTGTGTGTGTGTGTGTGTGTGTGTGTGCACAAGATCCCAAGAGGAGAATGGAGGAGAAGGGATTGTGGCATGGCCATCCCCCCCGGGGGGTGATTTATCTCTTTCTCTCTCTCTCTTTCTCTCTCTCTCTTTCTCTCTCTCTCTTTCTGGCAAGCGCACAGACCCTATAGTTAAAAAACTCTCCAAAAAAGAGAGAGACACTGTGTTTGGACAGTAGAAACTAGAGATGAAGATTTCTGGATCGTGTTATTTCAGTGTTTGTGGTGTCAGGAAGTAGATTCCTAGAACTCCTTCCCCTATGGTCCCATGTGTCCTATGCCAATAGAGTAACTTGCATTAGGTGTGCAAGGCAGAAGTGAAATGATTAGGCAGGTGTTGGAGACACTTAATCTAGGAGACATTCTGGGGCATCGAGACTACACAGACACTCACCTCCAGCCTTACTTTCTGGGTGGTTTGACTTGGCACTGAAGCCTATCTTCTAAACCTCCATCAATTACTTGACTTCCTTTGTCTCAGAGTTTTAAATTCCCATGGATCTCTCTAGAAGCTTCACACAAGATCCATTTCCAGTTTGGATTTTAGTGCAAGTGCTCCTGTGTGTGCCAGGCAATCCATTTAGATGATCACGGTTCACAATATTCTGTGATTGCTCGTGTGTGTAGACCGAATTGGGATGAGTTCTACTTTGTACCGGAAACACCTTTGTGAATAGTAATGACTGTGTTCTTGATTCAACATGAGAGCTGCCATGGGGCATTCAAATACCACTAGATAGGAGTGGTATCTTCTGCTGTGATGTGCAGTGTCGGGTCTCTCCCAGCATTTTTATGTGAGAATAGTGACCTTGTTCTTATTAGGAGGACTGGAGAGAGATCCTATTTTCGTTGAATGTAGTGCCTTATTTTCATTATTTTTAATCAAACGTGATTAAAACCAGCCTTTTTTTTTTTTTTTTAAGATTTCTGGGGATACTTATAAATAGTTATAAAACTTTTTCAGCAACTTGTACACTAAGAAATATTTTGTCTCATTTACTGAAAAAATATTAAAATATCCCATTGAGATGAATCAGATGAAGGTAATTTTTTTCATTATCATCTGATTTTATGAGTTAGTACTACTGTGCGCATACAAACTTCAGTAAGTTTTTCTTTATTTTAAACTTTTATATTAATAGTCCTGTTTTAATATTTCTTTGTTCTTAATTCATAACATCAAAAGTTTCATGATGGTATTGAGAATTCATTCTTACCAAAGACCACCAAGACCATCCATATCTGCTGTCAACCAGTGTATGGTAAGATTTTGTAATAAACGTTACTGTATAATAGAAATGACTATGTGGTTTACCGATAATAAAAATTGTCAATACAGTGACTGACCGGATTATTGTTTGTTGTCTGTTGGCATCTGCCCTGGACTTAGCTCAATCTAAGAGGAAGCAGAAAGAAAGAGACAAGGAGACAGTAGCAGTGGACACAGGCGGCCTGAGCCTAAGCAGCCCAAGCAACCTGTACTGCCCAGGCAAAATGAGCGCCTTTATTTTATAGCGCATAGCAACACTACATGTATGTGAAGTTCCTTAGATAAGGTGATGTTTTACAGACAATAAGCAGGTGATAAATCTATAAGGATTTAGACATTCTGGGCCAGACGTATCTCCTGGTTACATCCATATCAAAGAGAAATCCCAATAAGCTTCCTATTTAGTGAAGAGAAGCCTAGCTGCAGGTGTGGGGAGGATACTTTCTTGGAAACATCAAAGAGGTGTTGATAAGGCTAAAGAATTTTACACAGGCAGAACAGGGGTTGGACTTTGCTAATTGGGGTCAGGATGTTTCCTAAATTCCTTCAGATATATCTGTTGGAAGGCCCGTGGAAAATTCCACCCTTTGTAAGGGTCAAAGATAGGACAAGCTTTAAGGTTTTGCTATAGCTAAAAGGGACAGGTGATGTTTACTCAGACCATGTCCCCACATCCTCAGGGTTTCTCTCCAAACATGTCCCTACAGGTTGAATTGATTGGTATCCGCGAAAGTGAGTTGTTTCTCTGTGTTGGATTCTATGCAAAAGTGAGCTTAAATGTATCCTTCATACGTCATACTACTTTTCTAGAAGGGATAAGGGTTTTATGTAGATAAATATAATACATAAGTACCTTTATCTGACTAATGAGGGAAATATTTTAGGTCAGATTTCAGAATACAGCTGTATTAAGAAAGCATCTTCCTTTTTATTGTTTTTTAATTTTTGCCATAGGATGAGTGATCTTACTATAGAGAGACAGAGAAAGTGAGAAATCACCTCAAGAGGGTGTTAGCCACTACAGTTTCTTCTCCATTCTCCTCTTGGGATTTTATGTATACAAGCATACATGCCCTATGTATTCCTCAAGCCACTGGATCCAGGACTTGAACTGCCACGTTGGCCATGTGGGAATCCAGCGCCTTAACACCAATCCTCCCACTGGTTCCAAAAGCACTGTTCTAATAAGCCTTTTTCATATAATATAGTGCGGTACAGTTTGCTCCTCTGAGGAAGGTCATTGTCTCAGTGGAAGAGTAAGGTGTCTGGAGTAGATTCTCCACCTCCATGAGTTCAGGAAGAGAAATGAAGGGAGTATCTTTGATCTATGGCACAGATTCTCATTTCTCTGGATGTAATATTGACGTGGAGAGGCCTGAAACTTGAAATAGCCCAAGGTGTGGAGAAGCCCCGAACATGTAAGAGCCCAAGGCTGGTAATTACTGGAAATTCCCCTTTCTTAGCAAATCCACTAACCCTCTTTGAGTCACAAAAGCAGCCTGAAACCTTGAGAAGTTAGACACCCCCCCTTATCTGCCTGTTAGAGCAAGTCCTGAGCCCCTTTTTCCTGATAGGATACCCTTAGCCTGCTGAAACCTTCCCTCCCCCAACTCCCTCATAAAAGATTATGTTTAACTCCTCTGTGCCCACTAACGATAAAGAGTTCTCCTTTAACTCCCCTGTAGGGTTGTGTTTTCGTTCCTAGGCATCTGTTTTTTTGCTGCAATGTCTCTTCTGTTTCAGTGTGGCCTGGGCTGGGTTGCTCCTCCCTTTCTGTTCAAGGCTTTACGTCATAGGATGTGGAATTCCCTGAGCACAATGTGACCCTGAGTTCTGGGGTAAAAGTCAGCAGATTCTCATTGAGTAGAGGAAGATGCTGGCATGTCTGCTCTGGAAATCTAGGAGTAGATTTTTTTTTTCAAGAATCATTTTATTACTTAACTT